CGTTACTTAGGGCCACAGAATGTTACTCAGGGACACAGAATTGTTACTGAGGGCCACAGAACTGTTACTTAAGGCCACAGAATTGTTACTCAGGGACAGACACAGAATTGTTACTGAGGGACACAGAATTGTTACTGAGGGCCACAACCGTTACTTAGGGCCACAGAATTGTTACTCAGGGGACACAGAATTGTTACTGAGGGCCACAGAACTGTTACTTAGGGCCACAGATTTGTTAACTCTAGGGGACAGAAACAGAATTGTTACTCAGGGACACAGAATTGTTACTGAGGGCCACAGAACCGTTACTTAGGGCCACATAATTGTTAATCAGGGACACAGAATTGTTACTGAGGGCCACAGAATTGTTACTCAGGGAACACAGAATTGTTACATGAGGGCCACAGAACTGTTACTCGGAGGGCCACAGAATTGTTACTCGGACAGACAGAATTGTTACTCAGGGACACAGAATTGTTACTGAGGGCCACATAAACTGTTAATCAGGGACACAGAATTGTTACTGAGGGCCACAGAAACCGTTACTTAGGGCCACAGAATTGTTACTCAGGGACAGACACAGAATTGTTTACTGAGGGACAACAGAATTCTTACTGAAGGGGCCACAGAACCGTTACTTAGGGCCACATAAACGTTTAATCAGGGACACAGAATTGTTACTTGAGGGCCACAGAACCGTTACTTAGGGCCACAGAAAACGTTAATCAGGGACACAGAATTGTTACTGAGGGCCACAGAACCGTTACTTAGGGCCACAGAATTGTTACTCAGGGACACAGAATTGTTACTGAGGGCCACAAGAACTGTTAGTTAGGGCCACAGAATTGTTACTCAGGGACTGACACAGAATTGTTACTCAGGGACACAGAATTGTTACTGAGGGCCACAGAACCGTTACTTAGGGCCACAGAATTGTTACTCAGGGACACAGAATTGTTACTGAGGGCCACAGAACTGTTACTTAAGGCCACAGAATTGTTACTCGGACAGACACAGAATTGTTACACAGGACACAGAATTGTTACTGAGGGCCACAGAACTCGTTACTTAGGGCCACAGAATTGTTACTCCAGGGACAGACACAGAATTGTTACTCAGGGACACAGAATTGTTACTCAGGGACACAGAATCGTTGAATTAAAGAGTATGTCAGACAACACGCAGAGGAGTGGCAGAGGAGGCAATGTTTTAGGAGCGAGCAGACGTGGCAGCAGAGGAAGGGGTCGAGGCAGCACTATTCGCAGCCAGAGGCCATGCTCCCGGTGTCATCCAGCGGTCGTGTCTCCACCGACAACCCTGCCGTCAGCGATTGGTTGGCTCGTCGTCTTCCTCTTCCCAGGTCACCTCTGACACCTACAGCCAATGGTCGGTGGGTACGTCAGACACAACCGTTAGTTGCATGGCCCGGGAGCAAGCCCACTGAAATCACGTGTCCTCTACCTGCCCCTGTCCTTTGTTTCCCTCACCAAGCGAAGTATCGCATGCTGTGGGCTCAGCCCCACTGTACATGAGGAAGAGCTAACAGAGGGCGGTCAGGAACGGGGGGAGACATCGGCCCCCTTTTCAGCAGCCAGGCGAACAAGTACTGGCGAGGAGAGTGGCTCGGTAGCCGGTCTAGAGACAGGTCTGTCTCCTGACCCACACGCAGCCGAGGGGGCTAGTAGTGAGGCGGAGACCCTACTTGATGATGAGGAGGTTGATCGCACTTGGCTGCCTCGTCGTCATCAGGCAATTTCTTCCTGCATCATCAGGAGAAAGGGTGCCAGCTTGGCAGCGAGCGAAACAGTCGGTGGGTTTGCCCAGGAGGCAGCAGGGTCGCATCAGTGTCAGTGGAGCCAAACTGGCCACGGAGTAGAGCACCAGCTCCACTGCAGCCTACCACCATGGCCAGTAGTGGTGCCGGTGCGCACGGAGGAAGTACAGTCAGTCAGCCAGTGAGGAGTAGCGGGGGCAAAGTTTCCTACTCGGTGGTGTGGCAATTTTTCGTAAGTCAAGCCGCCCGAGGAAGTATACGTAGCCAGTATGTCGACTATGTGGCCAGAAATGCAAGCGTGGCCAGGGGCCCATGTTGGGACTTTACAGCGTTGCGTCAGCATATGCAGCGTCACCATTCGGTGGCCTGGGAAAACCGTGATAAAGATACGGCGGTTCTGCCTGCCCCAGCCCCCGCTCCATCACCGCTCCGTTACTTGCTCCGTCACCCGACGTCGTCAATCGCCCTCTATCAGCCAGTCAAGGCTCCAACACCTCTGCTGAGGGAGTTGTCGCTCGTTGGCATCTTCCGCTCGTTCAGATGCTCCTTCTCTCTGCTACTCCTCTTCTCGATTCCGTCAACAGTCTTTCTTGGAATCCTTTCCAAGAGACAACAGTTTGCGAGCACGCACCCGACGGTTGCAAAAGCTGAACGTCCTCCTGTCCAAGTTGCTGGTGCTGCAGTCCCTCCCTTTCCAACTGGTGGACTCAGCACCTTTCCGAGAGAAATGATGGCTTGTGCCGCGCCGCGGTGGAGAGTGTGCCAAGCCGTCATTTCTTCGCCATAAAGGCAGTGCCAGCCCTGCATTCACATGTAGAAGAGATGGTGGGGCCAGTCTTTGAGCATGTCGGTCTCTGCCAAAGTGCACATCGGCAGCGCCGACGTGTGGAGCTGTAACTACGGTCAGGGACAGTACATGTCATTTACGGCCCACTGGGTGAACGTGGTGCCGGCACAGCCGCACCAGCAACTTGGACAGTCACGACGCTTTTTTGCCTCCACGTTTGCACGTCCTTGGTCCAGCAAACATGTCCGCCTCTACCACCCTTTTTTTCGCCGTGTCCTCAGCCGCCACCCCCGTGCCAAGTCCCATTACCCGACCGGGCATATCACATGTGCAGGGCGCAACGGTTGTCACGCTGTGCTGCACCTGGTATGCCTTGGCGAACGTAGTCACACAGGGGAGGAACTTCTGAGTGTAATGAACAGAGAAATCGACAGATGGCTGTCTCTCCGCGCAAACTGAAAATCGGAACCATGTTGACCGACAACGTAAAAGAACATGGTGTCTGCTCTGCGTCAAGGGAAGGTTGTGCCATGCGCCATGCATGGCTCACGTGTTCAATCTGGTGTCAAGCGGTTCCTAAAATCCACCATCCCACTGCAAGACATCCTTAAAATGTCACGTAAACTGTGCATGCATTTCAGCCATTCCTACACCGCAAAGAACACCCTCCTTGAGCTGCAGCGGCAGAACGGAATTCCACAGCATCGCCTGATCTGCGACGTTGCAACAAGGTGGAATTCAACCCTACACATGTTAGACCGCCTTTACGAGCAGCGAAAGGCCATCACCGATTTCCTGATGTTACAAGCGGATAAAGGTACTCCCCCTGTGTAACTTCGATGTCAGCCATTGGCAGCTCATGCGTGACACCTGCCGCTTGCTCAGGCCCCCCTTTGATGGAGCCACGCTATTCGTGAGTCGGCAGGACTATGGGATGAACGACGTCATTCCTCTGTTGCACGTCCTGAACAAATGCTGTTAACAATGGCTGGTCAGGGTTGCGGTAGACGTGGCGCACAGATCTCAACGCCACATGACCCCTGTGGGGCAGGACAGGAAGAAGAGGAGGAGGTCTAGAGGAGGACATTTGTGCTCAGGAATTATTGAGTGAAATGGGGTGGTTTTTTCCACTCAGCGGCAGGAGAGAGGAGCAGGAGCATCTGGAGAGGAGGAGGAAGAGGAGACAGAGGACCCAGACGCACCATGGCAGTATGCTGTGGAGATGGAGGCAGGGAGATCCCTCGCATTCCTTGGCGGCAAATGGCCCATAGCATGCTCGGTTGCTTGCGTAGAGCGACAGCCGAATAATAACCATCAGCCACAGAGGGATGACTTTTGGCTGTCCACCTTGTTGGACCCTCGCTATCGTTCCAAAATGGTGGCCTTTTTCACACCTGCTGAGAGGGAGGCCAAAATTACGTTCTATAAAAAACCACCTATGTAGTCAGTTGGTCTCTGCCTTTGTGCGCCAACGGTCCACCTCAGACACTGTGGGGCCCTGTGCGCTCGCGTTCTGCTGCCATGGCAGCAGGGAGGGTGTGGGTGGTAGGAGCATCTGGCAGCTCCACCAGCAGCGGCTGCCTCAGTCTGCAGTCGATGATGAGTAGCTTTCTTCACCAGCGCAGTGAGGAAACTACTAACCAGCCGCAGCAAGCACAGCATCAGGTGGTACCTGGAGCAGGAGCTCAAACAACAGGCTTGGGCCTACTTTGGACAGCACCCTGCCAACCGAGGTAGACATGGCCCTTGACTACACGGGCCTGCAACGAAACTTGACCTTTGGCCCCTACTAGCTGAATTTGCCCTTGAAACTAGCTGTCATGCCCCTGTCCAGTAGCGTGGCATCGGAGCGCGTGTTTAGTGCGCAGGAGGTATTGGTAACTCCACCTCGCTGGACCCTGGACACACTGCCACACCCAAAGTGTGAGAGACTCACGTTTGTGAAAATGAATCAGGCGTGGATTTCTGGGATTTCAAACCACCAGTTCCTGACACAACTGACTAAATCCGCCATGAATCATGCCACAAACATGTGCCACTTTCAGGTCTCCTCACCACTGCTGGTGTGTTCCATTTTTTGTCATATGGGTGCTGGCAGATTATGGGCCTCCCATTGCTGCTCTGTCTCCATCGCCACACTCTGCCATGTGCCACATTACAGGTCTCTTCACAACTGCTGGTGTGTTGAATTTTTTGACATAGGGTGCTGGCAGATGTACGGGCCTCCCGTAGCTGCTGCCAGCCCTAATCTGCCATGGGCCCCCCTGTACCGCCTCCCTTGCGCTGCCAGGTCCACAGTCTCTCATGCCATGTGCCACTTTCAGGTCTCCCACACTGCTAGTGGTTTTGAATTTTTTGACATAGGGTGCTGCAGATTACGGGCCTCCCATAGCTGCCTGCCAGGCCCCTAATCTGCCCATGGGCCCCTATACCGCCTCCTCATAGCTGCTGCCAAGTCCAGAGTCTGTCATGGGTCCCTGTACGGCCTCCCATTGCTGCGGTCTACATCGCCACACTCTGCCATGTGCCACATTCAGGTCTCTTCACACTGCTGGTGTGTTTGAATTTTTTGACATAGGGTGCTGGCAGATTACGGGCCTCCCATATCTGCTGCCAGGCGCCCCTAATCTGCCATGGGCCCCTATAATACGCAATACCTCATGCTGCTGCCAAGTCCCCAGAGTCTCTCTCATCGGGTCCCTGACGGCTTCCCATTGCTGCGTCCTCCATCGCCACACTCTGCCATGTGCCACTTTCAGGTCTCCACACACACTGCTGTTTGTGTATGAAATTTTTTTGACATAGGGGTGCTGGCAGATTACGGGCCTCCCATAGCTGCTGCTGCCAGGCCCCTTAATCTGTCATGGGCCACTATATACCATATACCGCCACCTCATCGCTGCTGCCAGTCCAGAGTCTCTCATGGGTCCCTGTACGGCCTCCCATGGCTGCTGTCTCCATCGCCACACTCTGCCATGTTGCCACATTCAGGTCCTCTTCACACTGCCTGGGTGTTGAAATTTTTGACATAGGGTGCTGGCAGATTACGGGCCTCCCAGTAGCTTGCTGCCCAGGCCCCTCTAATCTTCCATGGGGCCCCTATATACCGCCTCCTCATGCTGCGGCCTAGGTCCAGAGATCTCTCATGGTCCCTGTACGGCCTCCCATTGCTTGCTGACCATCCATCGCCACACTCTGCCCATTGCCACTTTCAGGTCTCCTCACACACTGCTGTGGTTTGAATTTTTTTGACATAGGGTGCTGGCAGATTACAGGCCTCCCATCTGCTGCTGCCAGGCCCCTAATCGGCCATGGCCACTGTATACCCGAGCCCGTCCTCATGGCTGCTCGCCAAGGTCCAGAGTCCTCATCATGGGTCCCTAGTACGCTATCTCCAATGCTGCTGTACTCCATCGCCACACTCTGCCATGTGCCACTTTCAGTCTCCTCTACACTGCTGGTGTGTTCCAGTTTGTCCATAGGGCTGCTGGCAATTAAGGCCCACCCATTGCTGCTGCCAGGCCCTACTCTGTCATGGCCCCCGTACCGCCTCCTCATCTGCGTTCATTGTCTCCTCACACTGTTGTGTTATGGGGGTGTTTTTTATTGGATTGGGGTATGGGTGTGTTTGTTGGTGGTTTGTGTTGTGTTTTGTTTTTTTATAATCTGCCAGTTAAAGGGTTGTAGGGTTTATTACCCCCCTCCTCCGTGATTCTGGGTGCCATTTTTTATATAAAAAATATTTTTGACAAAGTGTAAAATATACAATCACCCTAGTTTTGTTTAAGGTACGTTTCTATGGACTCAGCAGTGCCTCCAAAATTTTTCCTGGGTGGGTTTTTTAGGGTAATAATATTTTTAAAGGGGGGGTCCCTTTCCCTTAGATGAAATATTACAGGCCCCACCGTTAAAATACGGAAATATTTAGTAAACCAATAAATTTGGACACCTTTATAATTTGATCACCCTTATTATTTTAAACCTTGAAATTTTTTAGCCAAAATGATTTTTGACCATACACACAAAAATTTTCCTTTTAAAAAAATAAAAAAAAAAATTTTCA